AAAGCAAACTTTGCAAATAAGAAATGGGTGAGGAAGTTTGTGAAAGCAGGCGAAACGGTCTCAGTACGTGTGATTTGCTCGAGGGAACAAGTACAACTTTGGCGGCCGTGCAGTCGCTTACTCACAACCGTCACGGAAATTCGACACTATGGCCAAATTAACCAGAAATCCGTGCACAGTTTGCTTTGCTGATACGAGTTGGATCAAGCAGATGACTCGTGAAGACAATGGCTGGTGTCTGCAAGCATGTGAATCACAGCTTGTGCGCTCTGCTGGCGAGGCGACTTTGTACGTGCCACGGAAGGCTTGACAAATAGCTCTTGGAGTGAAATCGGTGAAGCGGAAAGATAAGAAAGGGATCTACGGGCCAGTGAGGCAGATCCGGACAGGAGGATCGAGCCGGATCAGCCAATCGAAAAGGAGGGGCGAGGCAAGCAGCAGTTGTGATGACGCCACACCAAACAGGTCAGAAGTCGGACGATGGGAATTGTGGTAACTACGAGATCAGAGGACTTCGGACAAGATGTGTCCAAAAAAGTAGCCTTGGCAACATGACAAGGTTGCGAAAACGACCACACCAAAGGTTACATCATCTTGGTCTAAATATCTTCCACACTTTTACGTGTACATGTCAAATTCTGTAGCTGGTGAAAGCCTGCGATTTGGCCCATTCTATTACATGTCCTGCATAACAATATGCTCAGCAAGTTCCGATTTTGGACCCATAAACTGTGAAAGGAGAATTCATGCTAAGACGATCTCTTCTGAATGAGCATGCAGGTCTGCCCTACGTAGGCATTACAACATGGGCACATAACCTCACGACCCCTTTAGCTTGAAAATACGTGACCAAGAAAATTATTTGCCTTTCTTGATACCTCGTTTTGGTGTTCGACTTCCTCAAGAGTTCACCAAACATTTTTATTAGGTCGCAGGACGGAAAAAACTGTAACAAAGTTGATTGGTATATATATATATAGACATGTCTCTTTCTTTTGATAGCAATTTCCCCTTTTCATAGTGCCCTGACAACAAGACCAAGTTGCGAAAACGAGGTCAACCCTTTTCTAAAAATCGAAAAGAGACTGCACCAGACTCAAGTCCATACCATCTTGGTCTTCATATCTTCGGCAACTGGTTACGATGGCCTGCTGTGATGCCATCTTTCAGATGATTGACGAGAGCTTAGCGAGTCCTCATCAGACTGGAAGGAGATTGTCTCAGATAGCTCTAGTTAGGCTAAACGACAGTCGGTCTGGAGGAATCCTCTATCGTCTTCTGGTTGGATCGAATTTCGAGTCTCCTCATTAAGAATTTTCGCATGAAATCGCCTTAACCCAGTAAATCTGCACAGCCTTGATGCAGGCGAATGTGTGGAATGCAAATACGCGGTGTACATTGGGCTGGTGCACTCCTGAAATTGCCCTCGACGACTGTCATCCCGCGGAATTGGTGATGAGACAAGCTAACTCGGTAGTAGTTACTCCGCTGTAACGGATGGTAGGGTTGCCTAGTTCTCGGAGGGGCCTCCCGAGTGACGTTGTGCAAGCAGTTGTACCTCGTGCAGGAGAGATAGGGTCGGGAAGAACGGGAATGGCTAAGAATTATTGTCGAAAAATCTACCAAATATAATATGCCACGAAATGAGGGTGATTGGCCTCAATCACACTCACTTCCTATACTTAACTTTGCTATTCTAATGACGATAGGTGTGAAGACCAAGATGGTGTGGCCTTATGTGTGGTGTCAGTCTCCTTTCGTTGAATAGAAGTTGTTTGACTTTGTTTTCGCAACTTGGTCATGTTGTAGAAGGACTTTGAGGAACGCACCTTGTCCGGAGTCCATTTTATGCATCATCATTTCCAGAGTGGGACCGTGGATGTGGTACATTCCCAGACGTGTCGACGGCATCGTCAGCGAGTCTCGCCATTCGTAGCACCATATTAGAACTCGTCAAAGAGACAAGTCAAAAGGATGGGCTTCACTTTACTCTTTGACGAGTTGTGATATGGTGCTACGAATGGCGAGACTCACTGACGATGTCGGCGAAAATTCTGGGAATGTACCACATCCACGGTCCTACTCTGGAAATGATGCTGCATGAAATGGTATCCAGACTAGGTGCGTTTCTTTAAGTCTTCCTACCAATATGACCAAGTTGCAAAAACAAGGTCAAACAACTTCTCTACGACGAAAGGAGACTGCGACCACACAAAAGGCCACATCATCTTGAATTTCATACCTTCGATAAAACACATAG